GGAATCAGTAAACCTAATTATAAATTCAACAGAAAGCATCACCAATAGACTAGACCACTTTGAAGACAGAACCTCAGACAACAAAGACAAACTATGTGATCTTGAAAGTACATTTGATCATGCAGAGAAGATGGTAGGAAACCATGAACAGAACATCTAAGAATTATGAGTTAACATGAAAAGAACAAATTTAAGAGTTATCGGAACAGATTAAGGAGCACAGAAACAAACCAAATGAATTCACAATCTTTACAATGATAAAATAGCAGAAAATTTTCCAAACCTAAAGATTGGAATGGAAAGTCAAACACAAGAGGCTTACAGGACCCCAAATGTACAAAATTACAGCAGGTCTACACCAAGAAACATTATAATGAGAATGACTAACTCAGAGAATAAACATAAAATCTTAAAGGCTGAGAGAAAAAAATAATAAATTACATATGGGGAGGAAACTGATTTGGATCTCAACTGATTTCTCAACCCAAACCCTCAAAGTTAGGAGGTCCTGGAATAATACATTTTAAGCTATGAAAGAAAATGGATACTGACCAAGAATTTTATATCCAGCAAAATTAAGTTTCAGATTTGAAGATGAAATTAAAACCTTACATAATAAACTAAAATATTAAAAGAATTCATAACTAGAAAGCCTACACTACAGAACAACCTCAACAAAATATTACATGAGGATGAAGTTAAAAAAAATATAAAGTGAAAACCGGCAAAGGGAAGATTTACACTAAAGGAACATGCAACCAAAGAAGAAAGTAAGGCAAATAAAAAAACCAGAAATAAAAAAATAAATAAATAAAAATAAGCAGAAATAAATCAAAATGACAGCAAATACAAATCATATCTCAAGAATAACCTTGAGAGGTGATCCAAGATAGTGGGCCAGATGGAGGCAGCATTCTGTGTAGCTCCGTGACCTGGGACACAAGAAGTGAGAATACGGCTTCCATGCAAGCCATATATTCCTGCTTCTGCACAGAAATCATGGCCACCATGTCCATGCAGGGCTCCAGGCCTCAGTTTCAGAGTAGGTTTCCCAACTACTTGCCCACACAGGACTATCAGGTTCCCGAGCAAGACCACCACCGGGTGCTCAAGAAGAACTATCACCATCAGCACCCACGCAAAACTTTTGGCCACCCATCCAAGAAGAAATCCTGGATACAGTTCCCACGCAGGGTACCTGACAGCTATCCACATACAGGATCTCCAACTGCCACTCCTGTAAGTACCTCCATCAACCAAGGTGGGGCTCACCCAGTCACCTCCATCTTGGGACTCTGCAGCAACAGATAGTCCCCTATGCGCTGTAGTCTGCCTGAACCAGGGAAATTCGCACATGCTCTGAAGACAGCCATATCCACACACTACATGCCACAAATCCAGTCTCATCATCAAACACCATCACCTGGCTCCTCCCACCCGACCCAATACCCCATCACTGAAAGCAGATGCCTTCATCTTGGTTCACCTTTATCACCATCTTTAGTGAGGGCAACTCCCTGTTTGAAACTCCAGCTGGGCAGGTACCCAGATTCTAACTCCTCCCTCTCCCCAACAGTCCCTAACCCAACACAGTGACTGCCCAACAACAAAATAAACAGCTATCAATGGAGCAGGTGTGCAGCATGCCAAAAGCACCACACAAGAGCCCCAGAGAGAAAGGACCCTTATTATGGAGCATTAATGGAGAGGGTGTGTGTGATACAATTTAGAGACTAACAGAGACTAGGAACTGGGAGGTCTTCAAGCAAGATAAGGAGATAAGACCAGGCACTCACATCACAGGAACAGGCCCAAAAAGAGATCTCTGAGGTGCAGTCTCCCTTTGAAGATGGACAGGTGCCATGGCCCACTTCCAGTTGCCCTCCACCCAATAACAGCCCTCCCTCCCTGGTTACTTTCACCATTCTGAAGGCGAAGATAGCAGCTACCAACAGATGACCCCACCTATTGGATGAGAAGGGAAACAGAAAAGATACTGATCTCCATGCAAAACAATCCTTGTTTCTTCTTTTGAGATTTTTTTTTTTATTCTTTCTTCTCCCTCTCTATTCTCCCTCTCTCACATCCCCAACATACGTGAAACCAAGTACTTTGCATGAATTAGGATATTGAATTCTGAAACAACTGATTAGTATGTTATCCTTATGTTGTATACATTTTTTTCTTTTTCTTGTCTTTGTTTTTTCTGTTTTTCCCTCAATTTTTATTATTTTAACATTGTTGATTTTTTTTTTCTTAATATCTGTGTTTGTTTTATGTACATTACTGTCTTTCCTCTTACTTCTCTACTTAAATTTACTTCCTCTGTATTCTCCTGCTATTAACCTTCTTTAGATTTCTACTTTACTCTTCCTAAGTTATAATAACTCTATATTCTCACCTCCTACATCCTCAACATATCTTCCTGCACCTCACCCTGGTTTTTGTACACCATCAGAAACTGTAAACCCTTTACAAACCTACTGATCATATTGTAGATAATAATTGAATTCACAATTTCTGTATATTATGAGCAAACTGTAAATGTCTGTTCACAACTAATTTTTTTAAGGTGATATATTGTTTATATTGGGATCTGTTAACATTGTCCTACCACTCAATGGTGAGGTATTGGAACCTTACAGGAGCACTATAAGTCTGTAGGGTAAAAACAGTAACACCAAGAATTCACAGTGCTACAAGGGAAGACACATGAGCAACATGAAAAGATAAGGAAATAAAATGCCCCAAACAATTCAAAATACCACATTATTAAATCTATGACCATCACAGAAGATGAAATGACAAAGAAGGGGTTCAGTATGTACATAATTAAAATGATCTGTGAATTAAAGGATGATATAAGAGAGAAAATGCAGGCAGCAAAAGATCATTTCAACAAAGAGATAGATAAGCAAATACAAAAAGCAAAAGATTACTTCAATAGGGAGATAGAGGTTCTAAAGAAAAACTGAAGATAAATCCTTGAAATGAAAGTAACAATAAACCAAATGAAAAGTTCAATTGAAAGCATCACCAACAAATTAGACTACTTGGAAGACAGGACCTCTGACAATGAAGACAAATATATAATTTTGAAAAGTATCTAGACCACACAATGAAAATGGTAAGAAAAAAATGAGCAGAACATTTAAGAAATATGGGATAGCATGAAAAGGCAAAATTAAGAGTTATTGGGAGAGAGGAAGGCATAAAGTTCCAAACCAAATGAATGAACAATCTATTCAATAAAATAATATCAAAAAAATTCCCAAACATGAAGAACAAATTGGAAAACCAATTCAAGAGGCTTACAGGATGCCAAGTGTACAAAATCACAACAGCTCCACACTAAGTCACATTATAATGAAGATGCCTAGCATACAGAATAAGGAGAGAATATGAAAAGCTATGAGAGAAAGGAATCAGATTACATATAGGGGAAAAAAACAAGTGGGTTATGTGCTGATTCTTCAACCCAGATCCTGAAAGCTAGAAGATTCTGGAACAACATATACCACGCTCTGAAAGAAAATGGATGCCAACCAAAAATATTATAACCAGCAAACTTAAGCTTTAGATTTTCTGATGATATAAAAACCTTCCATGATAAACAAAAGTTAAAAGAATTTACAGTTAGAAAACCTGCACTGCAGAATATACTTGCAAAATATTCTATGGCAAAAAAAAATGAAAAACAACAATGAAACTCAGCAGAGGGAGGTATCATACTAAATAAAATATTAATCAAAGTACAAACCAAGTCAAGTTAAATACCAAAAGTAAACAAAATGGCTGGGAATACAAATGTCTTAATAATAACCCTGAATGTTGGTGGCTTAAACTCACCAATCAAAAGACAGGCTATCTGATTGGATAAAAAAAAAAGACTAAAAGATATGCTGCATCAAAGAGATTTATTTCATTAAAAAAAAAAAAAAGATATACACAGACTAAAGGTGAAAGATTGGGAAAACCATACCACTCACATGGACTGTGGAAGCAAGCAGGAGTTTCCATCCTCATATCAAACAAAGTAGACTTTAAGCTAAAGATAACAAAAAGGGATAAAGAAAGACATTTCATACTGCTCAAGGTAACTATACACCAACAAGACATAACAATTATAAATATATATGCTACAAACAATGGAACATCTATGTTCATCAAACAAACTCTTCTCAAGTTCAAGAGTCAAATTTACCACAATACACTAATTCTAGATGACTTTAAAACTCCTCTTTCACCACTGGATAGATCCTCCAAACAAAAGCAGAACAAAAAAACTATACAACTCAATAATACAATAAATAACTTAGACTTAACTGACATATATAGAATATTTCATCCTTCAACAAGCAAATACACTTTCTTCTCAGCAGAACATGGATCCTTCTCTAAAATAGACTATATATGATGCCACAAAGCAAATATTAAAAGTAAGTAGAGATACTACCCTGCATTCTATTAGGTAATAACAGAATGAAATTAGAAATCAATGATAAAATAAAAAATAAAAGCTACTCCAACACTTGGAGACTAAATAACATGCTACTGAATGAACAATGGATTGCAAAAGACACCAAGGAGACATTAAAAAATTCTTAGAGATAAATGAGAACACTGATACAACACTTCAAAAACTCTGGGACACTATGAAGGTATTACTAAGAGGAAACTTTCATTGCATAAAGTTCATTTCTTAAAAGAGTAAACAGTCAACAAATAAATGACCTAACATTACATCTCAAAGCCCTAGAAAAAGAAGAACAAATCGGGTAGGCGAGTGTGGCAGGCGAAGCGGGGCCGTCAGCCGGCCCGGGGGCGGGGAGGCCCGGGCTGGGGGTCGTCCGGGCTGCGCGGGGCCGCGGGGCCGCGGGGCGGGGTCATCGGCCGTAGGGTTGCAGGAGGCCTGGGCCGCCGCGAGGAGCCGCCCCCGGCCGCAGGGCCCCGCCGCCGGGCCGCTCGTCGACGACGCTCCCGCGGGGCCCCCTCCTGAGGAGGACGCGGCGGCCGCGGCGAGGCCGGGGGAGGCCGCGGAGGATGGAGGAGCGGAAGGAGGAGGGCGAGGCGGAGATCCAGGAGCACGGGCCCGAGCACTGGTTCTCCAAGTGGAAGCGGCAGTGCCTGGCGGAGGCCGAGCAGGACGAGCAGCTGTCCCCTGAGCTGCAGGAGGAGGCGGCGGCCGCCGCGCAGCCCGAGCGCAAGCAGCAGAAGCTGTGGCACCTCTTCCAGAACTCGGCCACCGCCGTGGCCCGGCTCTACAAAGACCGAGTGTGTCAGCAGCCAGGACTTTCTCTCTGGGTCCCCTTCCAAAACGCAGCCACCGCCGTCACCAACCTCTACAAAGAAAGTGTGGATACCCATCAGCGAAGTTTTGATATTGGAATTCAGATTGGCTATCAGCGACGCAATAAGGATGTGCTGGCTTGGGTTAAAAAACGCAGAAGAACTATTTGTAGAGAAGATTTGATCAGCTTCCTGTGTGGAAAGGTTCCTCCACCACGAAACTCTAGAGCTCCCCCAAGACTGACTGTAGTGTCCCCTAACCGAGCTACTTCAACGGAAACTAGCTCATCTGTAGAGACTCATTTGCAACCCTTCCGGGAAGCCATAGCTCTGCATGGTCTTAGTGGTGCAATGGCTAGTATAAGCGTGCGTTCGAGTACCCCAGGCTCTCCTACACATGTAAGCGGTGGATCGAATGCTAGTCGAAGGAGAAATGGACTCCATGATGTCGATTTGAACACTTTCATATCAGAAGAAATGGCACTCCACTTGGACAATGGTGGAACTAGAAAGCGTACCTCAGCCCAGTGTGGCGATGTCATTACAGACTCACCAACCCATAAACGCAACAGAATGATCTAAACTGCAAACATTTTTCACACCCACCATGCTGCTTGAAAGACACTCGATCCTCAACATATACTATTATTGCAAAGGCAACATGAGGCCATCTTCCTTTGTTCACTGTTTAAGACAAGTGAATTCGATAGTGGTTGCCATAAAAGGAAGTTATAGGTATTTACAGTAGATGCCTCTTGTAATATGGCTTTCTCAAAAACTATAATCCTCGCAGAGGACATCAGATATCGTGTAGTCATTAGCAAGATCATCATAGGCAAACATATCCGTTCCAAGGCTAAAAGTGACCTTAACTATATTTATTCTCAAAGGGAAAGGAAATATCAGATGTTTATTTGGTTATAGAATTTTTTTCCTCCCCTCCCCCAGTCCATTTCCTGCTGTGTTGAGTATTTTGCTTCAACAGTATTGCCAGGTTCCTAAAATTGTCTAAAAACACGATTTGGCTTCCTCGTCAGATCTGCAGGCTTCCATTTTTATAGCCGCACTGTACCATGCACCTGGTTTCTATATAGTAACAGTGTGCAACTTCTAATTATTGGACTGTGCCCTGTTTTTAGTTTTCAACACAGTTTCTAATTCTGGTGATTGTGTGATGTAAAGAGGTGCTATGATGGTCATGCAATTAATACTTAATATTGAATCAATACACAAAACTTTATTGGAAAAAAAAAAGAAGAACAAATCAACACCAAAAGCAATAGAAAACAGGAAATAATTAAAATCAGAGCTGAAATAAATGAAATTGAAACAAAGAAACAATTGAAAAAATTGACAAAACTAAAAGTTGGTTCTTTGAAAAAATAAATAAAATTGACAGACACTTAGCCATGCTAACAAAGAGGAGAGAGAAGATTCAAATTACTAGCATCCATGATATAAAAGAAAACATCACAACACACACTACAGAAATACATAAGATAATTAGAAATTATATTGAAAACTTGTACTCCAATAAAATAGAAATATCAAAGACATTAAAAAATTTCTAGAGTTCTATGATTTGCCCAAATTGAATCAGGATGATATACACAAATTAAACAGATCAATTTTAAGCAATGAAATAAAAGAAGACACCAGAAGCCTACCAACTAAGAAAAGCCCAAGGCTAGATGAATACACATAAAGTTCCACAAGACCTTTAAGAAAGAAATAATACCAATACTCTTCAATTTATTTCAGAAAACAGAGGGAGCATTTCCAAACTCATTCTATGAAAACAATAATCTTGATTCCAAAACTAGGCAGAGATACATCAAAGAAAGAAAACTTCAAACCAATATCCTGGATAGATGCAAAAGTTCCCAATAAATTTCTGGCAAATCGATTAAAAAAACATATCAAAAAGATAGTGCATCACGATCAAGTGGGGTTCATCCCAGGGATGCAAGGTTTTTTCAACATTCAAAAATCAATAAATGTAATTTATCACATCAATAGACTTAAGGATAAGAATATATGATCATCTCAATAGATGCAGAAAAAGCATTCAACAAAATACATCACCCCTTCATGTTTAAAAGACTAGAAAAACTAGGGATAACAGTAACATAACTCAACATTGTAAAATCTATTTATTCTAAGCCCCAGACCTACATCATTCTAAATGGAGAAAAATTGAAAGGATTCCTTCTAAAATCTGGAAAAAGACAGAGATGCCTTCTTTCACCACTTCCATTTAACATAGTTCTTGAAACACTGCAAGAGCAATTAGACAGATGTAAGAAATTAAAGTGATACAAATAGGAAAAGAAGAACTCAAATTAGCACTATTTGCCAACCCAAAAAATCCCACCAGAAAACTTGTAGAACTAATAAATAAATTTAGCAAAGTAGCAGGATATAAAATCATCACCCATGTGTTTCTATACATCAGCAATGAATTCACCGAAAGAGAAATTAGGAAATCTACCCCATTCACAATAGCCTCAAAAAAAAAAAAAAAAACTGTGACTCAATCTAACAAAAGAGGTAAAAGGCCTCTACAATGAGAACTACAGAACATTTAAAGAAAAAAATTGAAGAAAACCTCAAAAGATGGAAAGATCTCCCATGCTCCTGCATAGAAAGAAATAAAATTGTCAAAATGGCAATACTACCAAAACATTATGCAGATTTTATGCAATTCCTTTTAAAATCCCAACAACATTCTTCATAGAAATAGAAAAAAAAAAACAAAAAAAAAAACAAGAAAAGCCCAAGGCTAGATGAATACACACCAAGTTCCACAAGATCTTTAAGAAAGACATAAAACCAATACTCTTCAATTTATTTCAGAAATTATTTTGGAAAAATAAGAGACCCAGATTAACTAAAGCAATCTTTAGCAAGAAAAGTGAAGCAGGGGGCATCACAACACCAAACCTTAAGCTACACTACAGAGGCATAGTAACAAAAGTGTCATTGTATTGGCACCAAAATAGACTTTAGACCAATGGTACAAAATAGAGGACACAGAGACAAACCCAAATAAATATGGTTATGTCATACTAGACAAAGGTGCCAAAAACATTCACTGAAGAAACGATATCCTATTCAATAAATGGTGCTGGCAAAATTGGAAATCCATATGTAGCAAAATGAAATTAAATCTCCATCTCTCACCCTGCACAAAAATCAATTCAAAGTGGATTAAAGACTTAGGCATTAGAACAGAGACCCTGCAGCTAATAGAAGAAAAAAAATAGGCCCAAATTTTTACCACATCAGCCTAGGATCTGACTTCCTTAACAAGACTCGTAAAGCACAAGAACTAAAATCAAGAATCAATAAATGGGATGGATTCAAGTAAAAAGCTTCTTTTCAGCAAAGAAAACAATCAATAACGTGAGGAGAGAGCTTATAGATTGAGTGAAAATCTTTACCACATGCAATTCTGATAAAGCATTAATCTCTAGGACATATGAATAACTCAAAAAAACTTAACACCTAATAATAATAATAATAACAACAACAACAACCCAGTCAAAAAATGGGCTAAGGTACCTAACAGACACTTCACAGAAGAAGAAATAAAACTGAACAACAAATATATAAAAAAAAATCAACATCTCTAGCAATTAGAGACATGAAAATCAAAACTACACTAAAATTTTATCTCACTCCTGTCAGAATGGCAATCATCAAGAATACAGAAAACAATAAATGTTGACTAGGATGTGGGGAAAAAGATACACTCATACATTGTTGATGGGACTGCAAATTGGTGCAACCACTATGGAAAGCAGTATGGAGATTTTTCACAAGACTTGGAATGGAACCACAATTGGACCCATCTATCCTACTCCTCAGTTTATACCAAAAAGGACTTAAAATCAGCATAATACTTTAATACAGCCAAGTCAATGTTTATAGCAGCCCAATTCACAACAGCTAAACAATGGAACAAACTTAGCTGCCCCTTAATAGATTAATTGATTAAGAGAATGTGGTATATAAACATAATGGAATGTTACTCACCTTTAAAGAAGAATGAAATTATGGCATTCACCAGTAAATAGATGGAGTTGGAGAATATTATGCTAAGCAAAATAATTGAATCCCCAAAAAAGCAAAGGCCAAATATTTTCTCTAATATGCAGTTGCTAATTCACAATAAGGCATGGGCCACTAAAGAAGAATAGCATTACCTTAGATTAAGTAGAGGGAAGTGAAGAGAGTGAAGGGGTTGGGATGTGGGGATAGGAAAGATAGTAGAATGAAACAGATGATATTACTCTTATATAAGTGACTACATGACCAAAATGATTGTACAACAATCATTATATCCCATCTATGTATGATATATCAAAGTGCATAAATGCATTCTACTGTCATGTATAACCAATTAAAACAAACAAAAAAATTTTAAAAATAAACCATAAACAGAACTTCCCAGAATTATGGAATTTCATGAAAAAAAAAGAAATTTAAGATTTATAAATATAGAGGAAGGCATGGAGATACAAACCAAAGGTATTCACAATCTCTTCAATGAAATAATATCAGAAATTTCCCAAATTTAATGAGTGAAATGGAAAATCAAATGCAAAAGTCTTCTAAAACTCCAAATTTACAAAATTACAACAGATTCACATGAAGACATTATAATGAGAATGTCTAGCATACAGAATAAGAATAGAATTTTAAGGCTATAAGAGAAAAACATCAGACTATATATATCCTGGGAAACCAATATGGATCACAGCTTATTTCTCAACCCAGACCTTCAAATCTAGGAGGTCCTGGAATAGCATGCCAAGCTCTGAAAGAAAATGGATGCCAGCCAAGGATCTTAAATCCAGCAAAATTAAGCTTCAGATTTGAAGATGAAATAAAAACTTCCATGAAAATAAACAAATTAAACAGAATTCACAACCAGAAGTCTACACTTCAGAATATTCTCAAAAAAATCCATGTATATTAAATGGAAAAATGAAAAAAAAAGTGAAGAGAAGAACTAAACTAAAGAATTATTCTAGCAAAGAAGAACAAATTCAAATTAAAAACTAGAAGTCAACCAAAATGATTGGAAACACAAATCACATCTCATTAATATTCTTGAACACTATTGGCCTTTATCATCAATCAAAAGACATAGACTGACAGATTAGATTAAAATCAAGACCCAATATATGCTGTCTTCTAGAGACTCACCTCATAGTCAAAAACATTGACAGACTGAGGTGAAAGGATGGGGAAAAAAACATATCACTCACATGGACTGTATAATCAAGCAGGGGTTTCTATCCTCATATCAGATGAAATGGACTTCACGTCAAAGTTAATCAGAGTGGAAAAAGATGGAAATTTCATACTACTTAAAGGAACTATACATCAAAAAGATATAACAATCATGAATCCCCTACCAATGTGCACCTATGTACATCAAACAAACCCTCTCAACTTTAAAATTCAAATAGATCACAACACAACAATACTGGGTGACTTTACCATGCCACTGTCACCACTGGATAGATCCTCTAAACAAAAACTAAATACAGAAACCATCAAACTAAAAAATATCATTAATAACATATACTTAACTGACATATATAGAATATTTCAGCCATCAAAGAGCAAATACAGTTTCTTCTCAGCAGCACATGGATCTTTCTCTAAAATAGACCATATCTTATTCCATGAAGCAACCCCTATAAAATACAAAAAATAGAGAAATCAGGGATGGAATAAGAGAAAAAGGTATTTAAAGGTAAATTAAAATAGTGATACAACACATCAAAATCTCTAGGTCACCATAAAGGCAACACTACAAGGAAATTTCACTGCATTGTGTTCATTCATTAAAGAATATAAAGTCAAAAAAATAAATGATCTGACATTACATCTGAAAGCCCTAGAAAAAGAAGAATAAGTTAACACTAAAAACAGTAGAACACAGAAAATAATTAAAATAAGAGCTGAAATCAATAAAATTTAAAAAAAGAAAAAAATTTAAAAATTGGCAAAACAAAAACTTGGTTCTTTGAATAAATAAAATTGATAAACCTTTACCCACACTAACAAAAAGAAATGAAAGAAATAGAAAACTCACATAACTCAAATTCATAATGAAAAAGGAAATATCATGACAGGTAATACTGAGATACAGAGGAATAATTAGAAAGTATTTTGAAAATTTATACCCCAATAAAATAGAAAATCTTGAGGTTATCAACAAATTTCTAGAC